GGTACTTGGTTTCGCCCAACTCTAAAGACACAGCTAACGATCAAACAGTGCGGTTCTCGCACAAAAAATGAAAACAAAGGTGCGAAATTGATTGGCAGTGGAGAAAAAAAGAATCAAATAAAAAAAAAAAAATCAAAAAAATCTCCTGAAGATACTGAACTGAAGGGTTTCTCGCTGCTGTGCTAGCCTAAAAGCACGACACTGCGTAGCGAGGAGAGAGGAAAGACCCGAGTGTGTGGACAGCCTTATACCACTCATCAGAGGAACCGGTCCGTCACATACGAACTCTATGTGTTGGTGTGGGTTCAACTGCCTACAGCAGGTTAGGCCTCCCTGAGTGGAAACGATAGACTTAAATGCCAAAGGCAAAAACCAAAAAATGAAGCAATCCCTTCTTCGAGTAATCGCTGATCATTCAAATCTTCTATGTACATTTTAAGGCGAAAGACGTTCAGAAGCGCATATAGGAGGTACATGGCCAAATACCATTTGGGAACAGGCATGCAGGTTGGTACGAAGGTCGTAACTGCCCGGTCGTACAACTTGAGGTGAGTCCTACGAGTGGTAGTGGTTTGCGCCACCCATCTGAATGCCTTTAGTCTACGATGAATTGTTTTGAAAATCGGTTGACGCGGGAAGCGAAAGTACAATATAGGTTAATAAGACAAGTTGTGACTTTATTTCAATAAGGGGGCATTCGATGTAACTGTAGGCGTCGCCCAGAGTAATCTCGATCATCACATCTCTATCTCGATCTTTGACGCATAATGTTACGGACCACTTTATATTTATTGCTGTAAAAATCCTTTCAGATCATGCCATAGCTCGTACTCCCACACCTTACCCAAAAAATAGCCAGTTCGCTTGCCTTCTTTGGCAAAAATTCTAGCTTTTTCAGAATTCTTAGAAAAGAAGAACATGCTAAAAGTACCACGAAAGTAGGTTGGCGCGGCGCTTTAGGTTTCAACGTTCGCGCAGCTTTGGTGATCTGACCCAGGAGGAGAACTGAACGTCTCCCCTAAGCCTTGAGGCACAAACGAAGAGCCCAACAACGCCGTGTGGCCCCCTCCAACTGCGTTAGCACCATAAAAAGAGTGAAGGGAGTTAGAAGAAAAGGAGTGGAGGAAAAAGGAAAAGTTTCCATGAAAAAACAAACCAGTCAAACGAATCAAATTAGACCATTCGAAACGTTGGCACTCACGTGGGAGAGGGCGACATTTTTGTGCTGCAGCTCGTGTGGACTGTACGGATCTCAATTTTGCACAGCTCTTGAAGCCAGAAAACGTTGGGAGCACGTCTTCGTCACTTCGAAATTTTCTGGAAGGTGCGAGGAAGCAATAGTGAGTTGAGGAATAAGAATTCTCAGAGGTGGAAGAGGGGGGGGGGAAGGGAGGTGAGCAAATTTTCTTTCAGAGCCGGTGAATGAAGAACTTTTTAAGTCACGCCGGAACTCCTTTTCTCTACGCAAAAGTCTCATGCCCCGGCTTAAAAGGAAACAATTTCAACCCTTCCAGATCTCCCTCCCCATGCGAAAATCTCCTTTTCCAGGCTATTGCGGAACGATGAGTGGTCTTATTCGATACAATTTGAGCACCGAGTCTTCCGTTCGTAATGAAGGATCAATTGTCGAGGTTCTAACTGCCTGAAGCTGTCTGCAACCACATTCCCCCCCCCCCCCCCCGTCGCACACCAGCACCTAAGAAATTTTAGCAGCGACAGACTCACCGTAGCGCCAGCGGAATTATGGTGAAAGAACCATGATCCGGCAGTTGAGAAGAAAGTCATCGAGCAGCAAGTGGGAATGATGACCGTCGCCTATCGATAATCAATCAAAGATCAGGTTGATCAACCGTCAACGATTCAGGTTGGAGGATGAACCCCAGACTGCGGGTCCCACTGGTGCTTAAACTAGTTATCACTAGTCGAATGGGAACCATGATCATTCCTAGCACTTTTCCGAAAT